TCTGCTGACCTGAAGCCATTACAACACAGTAACACATGGAGACTGACAAAATGGTGAACAGCAGAGAGAAACATGGTCTTCACTTCATGAACATAATGTTACTGAATCCAAACATAAAATTTACTGTAGTGACCTTTCCAACCCTTTCCGTGGTTAAAAAACATATAGTGCCACCATTTAGTTCAAAAGATGATGGCTTCAGTTTATTGTACTGATTGCACATGTTAGCTGAGCCGGTCAGGAATTGTTTTGCAGCTAAACGTAGAAATTAGACCAGTTTTGTGGAGATGCCAATTTCAGTTTTAATGATTATTTTAGAAACCTGCTTATTTCTGTTAGAGGCCACACACCTCCAAGCCTTTACATTTCATATAAAGACCCAGTTTGGAAGGCTGGGGACTGGGATATCAGGTTGCATACATATATGCACAGATAAGACCCAAAGGGACTCTTAACCCGGTCTCTTGCCTTGTCATTCACAAAGTGTGCTTTGAGAATGTTTTCATTCAGGTCTTTTTGACCACAGTCTTTGGTTTCCCATCATTTTCACTTAATGTCTGACGATGTAATCATGAATGAGTAGATGCACTGTAAGTTCAAGAGAGCCCTCTCTTTTCTAAAGACAGGAGATCACTTGGCACTGCACTCTTTCTGCATCCAGCTGCTGGATTTTAAAACAGTTCTTTAAAACACAAAGTCCTAAATCAGGCAGTTATACAAATTATACAATATATTATGGGAATATATATGTTTATTTATAGAATATCAATGTTATGTCAAAGATTCATGTCAAAAAATACAAAAAGAATATTCTTTGCACACCTGTAAATGGACAGGTGTGCAGGAGAAAACACAATACATACATAGATACAGTATCTTTCATCAGTATATGTACACATACTGTCATTTCTTTCATCAGACATTAGCTGATGAATCTGATGAACACTGCTCAATTGAAACAGCTATTTAATAAATGCAGCTTAATTGTTGACAGCATGCCTGATTTGATTTCTTTCTTTCTTTATTGCATGTTAAAAAAAAAGTCAACCAGTCTCAGGTAATTTAACCCATGACACTAGGTTGTCCTAATTTACTCTGATCAGGTTTGAGAAATTAAATCAACAAGTTCTGCTGCCCTCAAAGTGCTGCTGGTCAGATGGTGTGGATGTCTACACAAATATGAATCACTCCCCAAACCTGACCTTTGCTGTGTTCATAATGTCCCTAATGGCAGGAAAGGAAAAGAAATAAGAAATCTGTATAATGTGGGACTGGGCCTCTCAGAGGAAAAGAATTTTGAAAGTTGGGTTTTTCTGTGGATGGCATAATGTTAACTAAAATTGTGTTAAGTACTTACTTTGATATTTGTGTTTGTGAGTCTGAATATGATGTTTTATATGTGATCTATTAATGAAGAGTTTGCAGGCTTTAAATAATCAGCTTTTTCTTCTGCTTTAGATAATCAGCCCATGTCAGTAATCTCCATACACTGTATCTTCCCATCTACAAAAGAAAGAAAGAAAAACAATGGCTCTGGTCCTCACAAGCCCAACTTTTCACTGACAGGTCCACAGTGGGCAGGCCCAGACCATCAGAGTGGGAGGTGTGCAGGGCTACTTAAAATGAAAAAAATGAGTGAACCAAGTATTCAGAAGGGCAAGAGGCAGTGGACAACACACTGGAGGACAGTGGACTTATAACGGGGTCAAACGGGAAAGCTCCCATTCTGCTGCTGTTGAAAACCAACATCTGGCTGAAGAGTGGATTTACCTGAGGAGCCAGCAGATTCACTGTCAAAATGTTTAACTCTATCTCCAACAGTGTGGTGAGTCAGAAGATGATCTGGATTGTTAATTCTACTATACAAAGCTACAACTACACAAAGATTTTACTAGATTACATTTGTTGGTCTCATTCATTATAATTGCTTCTAGCACATCATCTCTAAACTCGTTTCACTTGGTTATTTTACAGTTTTGAAGAAATTCAACCCCTAGTTCTCTTGTCATGAATTTTGCATCACACAATTATGATTAATTAATTTACATGCACTACTCAAAATAAAATGTTTACTTTCATAGAAGAAAACAACCCCCCCCCAAAAAACCCAGAAGATCTTATAAATATTTATATTAAAAAATGGGTATAGATATCAAAGTAGAACTTAATACTTCTACTGTTCCCTGCACATTACTGGTACTACATATTGTAACTGATAACAGGCCGACAGCCATGTACAACCCACAGCATTAAGTCTACACTGTCAGGGATATAGTCATATGGACTATTCTTGTATTTAACTAGCAAACTCTTATATTTGTTTAAAGCTGGGGCCTAAAAAAGCCATATAAGGAACACAGTCACAATGCTTACAAGATCTCTTTTAGTTAATATTTGGTTTAAGCATTAGGTTATGCTCTTCCCTCTTAATGACAAATCAATCCAAACAGTGTGACAAACATAAATACAGTACCAGTATAAATATCCATTACTTATCCAAAATTCTGCCTCAGACATTTTATGTCATAAAAATAACTTTTCTATACACAGGGGCAAAAAAACAAAGCCTGGGATTTAGTGTAAAGCGCCCCGGTTTGATATATCAAATTGAAACAGCAAAATATATTGATCATTAAGTCATTAATTAGCAAAGACATTCTGATAATTGGTGGACAGGCTAATACATAAAATGGTGGACTTAATTTTTTAGGGTTTTCCTCAAGCCTCAAATCAACAATAAAACTGAAAATAGTGATTTGTAAATCATCTGTGTCTTGTATTACATTGAAAACACAGCAGCACACTATTTGATGTTACACCTCATCCATTTTTTTCTTTGTTCAAAATACACACTTATTTAAATTCTGATGCCTGCAACACAATTCAAAAAAAGTTGAGACGGTTGCATTTCAGTGCCAGTAATGAGGTAAAACAATGAAATGATGATTTGACTTGAAACAGCTGATGTCAACAATCATGATTTGGTACAAAAGTGGCATCCAGGAAAGACAGGACCGCCAGTTTGCCAACATAAGTTTGAAAATATTATTGAAATGTTTAAAAACAATGTTCACAAGATATCACATCAAATAAAGTGCTACTGTGTTGTTTTTGATGAAATGCAGGATAGATAATTTACAAATCACTATTTTCAGTTTTATTTTTGATTGTATATACGGTCCCAACTTTTTTTCATTTGAGGTTGTTTTTACATTAATTCAACTCTCAAGTTTTTTTTTCCTTCTTTACATACTGTTCCAAAGTTTTGTAATTCAGGGTTGTAATAACTGCCCTGCTCACTGCTGTCTGATGATCCTGCTTCATTTCTACTCTCCTGTCATTACAAGTAGAAGGCTGCCTAAGTAAGGAAAGCCTTTTTCTTTTTCTGCACTCACTGCTATTACAGGTTTCACCAGCTGAGCAGCTAAGGCCATGTTCACATTACAGGACTTAATGCTCAGTTTAGATTTTTTTTTATAGCTCACATTCAACTTTGTAAGTGACATACAGTATATCCAACTCCAGTGTGAACATTTTTGAGGTCACACATGTTGATTTAACTGAAATGTGAGCTGCATGCATAGGCTACAAGAATAGCAGCGTCATTTGTTTGACTGTTCAGATACATTATGTTTCTTGCAGCTTGGTTTGAACAACAGCTTCTCCACATACAGTTATGTCCAACAAAAGCTCCTTCCCTCTCCACTTACCCCTGTTGTTGCTCTCCTTCGTGTTTATTTTTTATCGGCCTGTGAAGGGCTGACACTGAATAATGATACACATTAAAAAAACAAATTAATTCTGTTCTGACCATTCTAACAATGGTCACGGAGTCAGGTTTTTGTTGGGGCCTGTGCCAACCCTGAGGGTTCCTGTTTTCATATATATAAAGTGTGTAATCAAATTTAAATAATAATAATACCTAGCCTTATTTCTGTGTTTCTATTTTATGGATCTCTGACTTTCCTTAACACGCATGCACAGATAGTGACCACTACACCCACTCCCACAGAGTGAAAAAGTGGAAAACTAACATTTAACTAACATTTAAAAAAATTCTCACGAGATTTATTAAGAGATATGAACTTTTATTATGTTGTCAGGAGTGATGGCAGACTGCCCGTATCCTATGTAACATTCATAGGTATTACTAGTAAAGGTAATAAATAACTACGGAGATAACCTGAATGTCACTATTTATAATGAGCAATATTCCCTACATCAAACATTATCACTTTTTTAGGATGAGGTTTTCCTTTTAGATTAGGTAGTGAAATGCATTTGTAATTTTAATAATTTACAATATTTATGCTACTTAATCTCAGAGGCCTTATCCTCACACTGACAGAACTATTATATTGTGCAACTTACACATGCCCTCAGCTGTCTCGCGGCCTACCTTTATTAGACAAATCTGCATTGCATCAGGCTACTTCACAAGATAGCATTCTGTATTTGCATGCTTAAAAGATCTGCATAGTTGAAGAAAAAGATTTAACCAGTGGGATTATATTCAGGGAGGCCAATTATAAAACTCTGATTTTATTTATTTGCCTGCTCCTGCTCTGCCTTATCTAAACTTTCCTTTAGACTAAGCTCTCCCGTTTAGACAGGCAACTGACCAGTCATGACATCGGCAATGAGAGGAACACTCCCGGGGGCAGTGAAGTAGCCACACGCGGGCGCAGGTGTGCTGAGGACTTCTTATCATTCGCACGTGCGCAACTGCAATCAAATTCAGCTGTGAGCGCTTACTGGGGACCAGTTTCCTGAAGTTTCCACGTAGTATTTGTTCATTAAATAAGGAAGCAAATGATATTGCTTCTATAATAAAATGTGGGCTTCAATTACAAAGTGAATGTGTTGCTCACTGTAATCCCCGACTGGGCCATTGCAGAACTATGACCGCCCTAAAATAAAATAAAGGCACAAAGTGTCTAGAAGAAGTCAAATCTAACATTTAGTCTTCCAGTGGTGACCGTAAACTATAATCTCTGTGGTTGTCATGGTAATATGAGGGGGGACATTATATTACTTTGTCCTCACTGTGTCGTGCGCATCACTTTGCGTTTGTCGCTGGCACCATGTCGGAGGGAGAAAGGCGACCAGCGCAGGTTTTAACTCAGCCACAGGGAGAAAATAGTTTTGCCGAAACAGTAGGTGTTTCTTTGTCAAATTAACGACTTTTTTCCTCAAGTCTTCGAGCTTATGGGCATGGAGTAAAGTGTCGAGGCAGTGTGTGTCAAGTTTAGAGAAAATATAGGTTGTGTGATTGAAAGACACGCCACAAAAGCCGCAAATGAAAACATTTAGCTTTTACGCAAACAGGGCTGAACCAAAATATCAGACCAGTTTGAAAACAAATACATTTTGTTAGGTTTATGTTTTTGTGGACTATTGACAGGTTACCTGACCCCAAAATGACGCTCTATTTTACGAAAGAGGATTTCAAACTTGTAATATCATAAAGTAGCTATTATTGACTGTTGTTATAATTCCGGGCTGTTCCTCATGACAGGGTTCCTCTGGGCCTGATGATATTTTCGAGGAGGACTCTTATTCTCCGTCCTCCCTCTCCTCGTCCTCCTCCGTCCAAACTTTGACTTCCCTGCAGGGGAAACCCCTGTGCACCTTCTGCGGCCTGGAGATAGTGGACAGATTCCTCCTGAAGGTCAGGGTGATGTGATGCCATTGACAACACTGTAAAATTAGGCCTGTATAGTCCTATATATTATGAGAGATGATGTCCCAAACGGTCCATTAATGAGTCGGCTTCCCATTTGTGGCTATTCTTTTCGCATATTTGTGTTATAGATGCAGACTTCCACGAAATGCCGAACTGGGGAAAAAAATTGTGACACCATACTTAAAGATTTTTGTCTTATTAAACACAGAATATGCCCGTAGTTTTGAATTACATTCTCCTCAAGGGAACAATTTTCCCCATCCTCAGGTGAACAATTTGTGCTGGCATGTGAGCTGTCTCTCATGCAGTGTGTGTAAGGCATCACTGGGACGACATGTAAGCTGCTACATCAAAGATACACAGGTTTTCTGCAAACTCGACTACTTCAGGTAAGTCAGACATAGCAGTTTTATTTTCAGTGATTCTGGAATAATTTTATTTGTGCATTCTCTTTAACTAAATGCAGCATGTGATAAGGAGAACAATGATGATATGCTGTATCTAATCGAGTAAGAAGGGAAAATTGGTATAGTAGAGATGTGCTAATTTGGAATGAGAAACGCGATGGCAACAGAAGGAAGGACAATGTTTTTGTTACATATGTTCTACTAATGGAACCTGTGCAACATCACTGAATGACAGGATTCAAGCATTACTTAATGTAATACTTGTCTCAATTTTTAAATGTATGGCTCAGTTGTTTAGCTGAATTATTGTTCTGCTCACTGAAACTAATGGGGTGAGCCTCACTTGTTAATTAATAATTGTTTTTCTTTAAGTTAACAATCAGAAGCCTTTGCTAATATATTGAAAGACTGAGCTTCTTAAACAAAGACTGAAGGCATCCCTGGCTGATCACCTATTTGCAGTTAATTTCATTTTAGTTTACCTCTGCTCTTGTTTCTCAGGAAGTATGGGACCCGCTGTACTCGTTGTGGCCGTAATATCCACTCTAGTGACTGGGTGCGTCGGGCTCGAGGCAGCACCTTCCATCTGGCCTGTTTCTCCTGCACCTCATGTAAGCGCCAGCTGTCCACTGGGGAAGAATGTGGACTACTCGAGAACAGGGTCTTCTGCCGACCACACTATGACATTATAATGGAAAATATAAAACGTGCTAAGGAAACTGGTGAGTAGATAAATGGATAACAAGAGTCAGGTTGAAGAGTAGCAGTAGTCAGTATTGTTATGAAACATTACATTACCTCAAGGGCTGCTGCCCTGCTTGTTTTCCAGCCACCCACTGCTGATTACCCAGATCAAGTGTGTTCATTCAATCAGAAGCTAAAAGATACCATCTTAGATGAAGGTGGAGTAAGGAAAGACAAAGTGAATCTTCCAGCTCCTGATTGACTGAATACACCTGATCTAGGTAATCAGCAATGGGTAGGGCAGAGATAGTTGGGAAAACAAGCAGGGCGGTGGCCCTTAGGCACCGGGATTGGCCATCCCTGCTCTAGGTAGAGGAAATTAAAGTAAAACATTAAGTCTGGGTATTTTGAAATAAAGGCTCAGCTCACCTAAATCATTAAGAAAACCACTTTCAGGTTTTGAGATCGTTGGCCTCTGATTACTGTTGCCACTTCAGTACCGTTACAGCAAGTCCTTCCTCAAACCATACCCTGATAATCTTGTTATAAACTCACTGCCTCAGCTGATTAGATAGTAGCAGATTAGTAGCAGCCTCATCTCAAACTACTAGTGCAGCTTCCCTGTTCTCTTCAACTTGGGCAGCTTTTTCCCATCATAATGAGACCAAGTCATCTCTGCTTGAACATTATGCTGTGGGACACTGAGCTTGGCAGCAGTGCATTTGCAAGCGTCTTGCAAGTCCAAGTTCAGGATGGGGGTGGAAGCATCCCCGTCTCCTGTCTAAGCCATAGCTGTGGGTTTCCCCACCCCGCTTGAGGGCGCCAGTGAGGAGTCATCGTCATCCTCATTGGACATGAGGAGCGCTGACCGACCGTCTGATTATTCCAGCAGACTGGCTGCAAGACCAGGCCCAGCCAGTTCCTAGGAAGGAGGGCCAGAGATGTCAAGTTGTTCTCCCCAACTTGTGATCAATGTGGATTAAAGACTGCAAATACAGCAACTGTATAGCAGTAGTCTCTTTTTTAGTAGCAAGGCAGTCGACTCGTCCCATCCCATCTTTATCACAAAGTGAATGAAGGAAAAAAAAAAGCTAAAACACGCTCGTGCTGAAGCACAACACTGCCAGCACTTATAGTATACAAAACAATCTTTTTTATAGGTGATGTCACAATAGTGCAGGCTTGTACTTTTATCAGAATGCCAAATCTTATATGTCCTGTGTCTTATCCTAAAGAGGAACAAAGAGTAGAAGAAGATGTGACAGACAAAGAGGACTCCAGCACCACAGCCAGACCTGCTAAGCGGGCCAGGACAAGCTTCACTGTTGACCAATTACAGGTACTGTCAGCCACTGTGTGTACATGTCTTTATTACACTGTATGCACTTGTTTTTTTTTTTCAGTGCCATCACTGTGAAAATATTGTATCTGGTCTTTGCAGCTTCACTCATTTTTCTACACTGGCAGTGGCAGTTGATGCATTTATATTTGAAACCAGAGAGCACTCTACATGCAGTGGTTTCTTCTGAACTGTTACACTAACATTATTGGACTTGACTGAAATATCAACTGTGTAAATGCCCCCTTCTGTCATCTCTTCTGAACTCTAATCATTCTGTCTATAGGTAATGCAAACTCAGTTTGCTAAAGATAACAACCCAGATGCCCAGACTCTCCAGAAACTGGCAGAGAGGACTGGTCTCAGCCGCAGGGTTATTCAGGTAAACAACTGTTACTGCCTCTAGGAGAGATGCTAGTTATTGCAGAAATGCCATGCCGCTTCTAGAGTAACTTTGTCTGTCCAGGGTAATGAAAAATAGCCTAATGGCTAACTCTAAACTAATAATAAAGAGAATGATAGCTTTGTATGGTTAAGCTGTAAAGTCCAGTAATTAGGCTCCATAGGAAAAGTCACTCATATTTTGGCTCTCAGTGCACTGCTCAGCCGATAGAGATGCACCTTAGAGAACTGGCATTGTTACTGTCCTGCTGATTATATAATGAATACAGTGTAACTAATAGCTAAATGATTTGCAAGAGCCTTCATTTTATTGTATTTTCTCAGAAATGGTGAATTCCTTTTAAATATCCCAAATAGTATACTGTAATAAAGGCAGGACACTTCTTTTATGTGTATGTGAATTTAAACTGTTCACCCAGAGCATAATGAACTTTGACTTCCAGTGTCCCTTTGTATGATGTTTTGACAATAATTCCAGGGAATTTTAACAATGTTTCATACACAACTGATACTTAGTTGTTTTTTTTTAAGAGAAGGAAAGGATTGTGGAACTATCAGGTACCACAACTTCTGCACCTGAAAGTGGAGAATTTCACTTTAAAGACGAGTTATCGATCAAGTCTCTGTCCTTCAGGTTTGGTTTCAGAACTGTCGAGCTCGTCAAAAGAAACACATCAGCCCAAATCTTGCTTCCTCATCCATGATGACATCACTTGCACCTGGTCTGCTGACACAACCCTTGATGGAGGATATGCAATACACAAGCTATATTTCCCCAGATACGCCCCTCCTCACCACACTGACTTATATGGATGGTAAGAAACATAAGTGCTTTGGGCTCCTTACTCAAAAATGTAATGCATTACTCATTACTCTTCAAAAATGAATATTATTACTTTACTTATTTCTCCCTGTCAGATTTATCAGATTTATCTTGCCATTCGCCACAACATACCTACAGAGAATTCTGTAGCAAGTTCCTAAAAATATAGGCTAAGAATAGTGTATGTATATACACCGATCAGGCATAACATTGTGAAATTTTCATCAAAACTAAAACATTTTGAGCTTCATAAACAAATGTTAAGGTGGGAGTGTTACACTGAAGTGCATACAATTGTACAGGTGTACTGCACCTAATAAAGTGGCCAGTGAGTGTACGTGTATGTATATACACCGATCAGGCATAACATTATGACCACTGAGAGGTGAAGTCAATAACACTCATTATCTGTTACAGTATCTCCTGTCAGTGTGTGGGGTACATTAGGCAGCAAGTGAACATTAAGTCCTCCAAGTTGATGTGTTGGAACCAGGAAAAATGGACATGTGTAAGGATCTGAGTGACTTTGACAAGGGCCAAACTGTGATGGTGAGATGAGTGGGTCAGAGCATCTCCCACACTGCAGGTCTTGGTGGGTGTTCTTGGTCTGCAGTGGTTAGTACCTACCAACAGTGTCTAAGGACAAATGGTGAAGTGGTGACAGGGTCATGGACGACCACGGCTCACTGATGATGAGGTTACCCTACTGTAGATTAAACTTTTAACTTCCATTTGTACTTTTCAAAAGATTAAAATTTATTTGAATCTTTGTTAAAATGGTTGAAAATGAGAAATACTGTACATTGGTCTATATGAAGAGAAAGAGTCAGGGGCTGTAGTGGTGCTATCACACCTAGAGTGGTGAGATTGTTGCATTTATTTAAAGAATTCTCTCTAAGTCGTCCTCACGACCACAGTTTTCACTCCTTTTACATATGTTTTTCACTGAATTGTAGACACACTGTGCTCTTCCTGATGGTACAATTGTGGAAGCAAATGGATTCACAGAAGATGCACAGTGAGCTGCAGAGTGACATGAGTGCCAATCAACTGCCACATTGAGTCCTATGCAAACCGTGTTAGGGAGGTGGTCATAATGTTATGGCTGATCAGTGTATCTCCAACTGCCCATACACAGCTAACTCATTTTTAACTATTTAAGTCATCTATATAAAGCTTTTGTATTTTCTTTATGGCTGCCATTTAATGCCAATGCTAAGTCCATACCTGGAGAGATCAGATTAGCAGTACAATAAATAAATCGTATTGTTTATTAAATTCCAAATCCTAGAGTTTATGGGGTAATGGCTTTAGTATTTGTTTCTCAAATTCTTAAAGAACTTATTTGCAGATTTTAAATTTATATTTTATGTGGTTTATTCTTAATTGTTTTTTTTTTTTAACTTCCTCAGTCCAAGCCACAGGCCCACTTTTGCTTCAGCCACTGGTATCCAACTCACTGACTGAACTGCCAATCAGCCATTCCTGAACCTGCCTCCTGAAAACTGAATGTGATGATTGGCTGATGGGAAGAAGTTGAGCAAATCACTGCTCTTTAATTAGAATAAATAAATAAACTGCTACAAAGAGTAACTCATTAACTGTCCATCAATTAATGGTTATTAAAATAAACTATTTAATTTTCACTGCCTAATGTGAGCAGACAAATTAATCTGTCTCTGCATTGCTCTCAGACAGGGATTGACAAGAGGAAAATAAGTTGAAAATGTAAAATATTAATTTTGTAAGATGAAGTTTTGTTAATATGAACATCTTAGTTTCTTTAATTTATTTGGAAAATATATGTCACTTTTTTTTTTTCAAAGGATGTAACAGAAAATGTCAGTTTTGGTGTTTACAGGAGAAAAAAATAGTCTATGTAAAGACTATTAGAAAATTCAGTTTTTATATTGCATATTAAAGTAACTGGAATTGATACATCAGAGGAGAAATTCTCCTGTTCCTTTCTGTATTATTGACAGTATAAACATGTATGTCTATTAAATACCAAATACGATCTGCCCTCCTGCATTCTTCCCTTGCAGTGCCTGAGCCTTTTACTTTCAACCAGACACTTTCTGCACTGAGGAGGGGTCTCAGAGGAGCACGAGTGAGGATGCACAGTACCATGTTTTGCAAACAGTCTGATACATCGAAACATCCTCACTGTTTTAAAACAGCATGAATAGACAAAAGATTCAACAAGATTCAAGGATAATACTCCAAACTGTTAGATTTAAGACATCAAATTATAAACATTGGATCTGCAGGTCTGATTAATAAAAGGGACATCCTTGGTGTTTGATGCCTTTTGTGTCCCCAGATAAGATCATATCTATTTCCTCAACAAGATCAGTGTTAAAAGGTTTTAAAAATAACACTAATGCATATTAAATGTGATCAAAATAATTAATTTTAGACATTTCATGCCATTTTAAGTAATTGGACACCAGGTTTTTCCTGTGCCCCAACACTGTGTATTGTATTCGTATGATGAATTTAAGAGTTACAGTAGTTTTTCTATATTATTATGGATATTTCAAACACTACTCCAATTTATACATTTTCCCAATTGTTTATTTTTAAATGTCTCTTTTAACTTATTTTACCATATTAATCTAATGTAACACATTAGATTAATTAAGGGGAATATGAAAAAAGTAAGAATTCATAATTCTGTAACGTTCATATTAAAAAGCAATTCTATGCAGTGTAATCTTGTTTTGTTAGACTGGTTTTGCTCTTATACAGTGTAATGGATGTCTTTAGAATAAAATGTCCACCCCTTTACCCTGGAAAAGATTTCCATTAGAGGGATGGTACTGTTAAAAGACTGAAGGAATGGTCTTATGTTTCCTTGCTCAGTTTCAACCTCATTCCTCAGTGCACAAATACAAGTTCTGGAATGACTGGAACAATGTATGGGGTCAAGCAAGAGTTGAGGATTAAGGAACAGCCAGACTAGGACACTGTGATGTCCACATACAGTAGCTCTTCCAAGACTATGAAGTTGTTTTTTACTAATTGACTAAATGTATTAAATCCTATATGTTAACATACTGAGTGATCAAGCTTCAGGACACAATGTCCCTGACCATCAGTAGTATATAGTGAAGCTGCAGTATGTCTAGAAATGAGCACATCAGAAGGACAGCTCAGGTCGGCTGTTTTGGAGACAAGGTCAGAGAGGCCAGATTGAAATGGTTTGGACATGTGCAGAGGAGGGATAGTGGTTAAATTGGTAGAAGGATGTTGGAGATGGAGCTGCCAGGCAAGAGGTCAAGAGGAAGGCCAAAGAGGAGATATATGGATGTGCTAAAAGAGGACATGAAGTTAATTGGGGTGAGAGTAGAGGATGCCGAGGATAGAGTTACGTGGAAACAGATGATTTGCTGTGGCGACCCCTAACAGGAACAGTCGAAAGAAGAAGAAGAAGAAGAAGAAGAAGAAGAAGAAGCAGTATGTCTAGAATGTTCAGTCATAGAAAGCTAAGTCAGGAACTGATTGAATACAATTTCTCAGTCTAGAACTAGATCTATTACACTGCATAGAAATTCAGTATATTATGGTCATATCCAAAATATAACATGTCATTTTTAGTTAACATAAAACTAAATAACATACAGCATGGAAAGAGCAGAGTAGGACTGGCAGTTGGTGGACATTACATTAACCACGTATTCAATAATAAACATGCTATGTGAAGTCTGTTTTATAATTTCTGAAAGCATGTGTAGGATCTGATTAATATTTGTTTTTTCTGTACTTAAATTTTTACTGAAGTTTTAGGTAACAAATGATAGTGGCCCCTCATGAATTTAATTTAATTTCATTTCATTTTTCTTTGTCCCTTCTTTTCTCTCTCTCTCTTTACCCCCCCCCCCCCCCCCATTTCCCTTTATTACCTTATACCAGACTCTGTATAGACTCGAATACACACACACAAAACACATCTTTACACAGCGACCACATGTAAAACTCCCATACTTTCCTCTGTAAATGTGTTGCATCGATGTTCCATATTCTGCCTTGTTAGCATGCTGTTTTCTATTGCCAAATAAATAAATAAACTTTTAGGCAACAACTTTAATTTGGCCCTTTTCTTCTACAAAACCAAGGCAGTAACGTCACAGTTGTGAAAGAACATTGCATTGCTCCACCTATATAATAATACTGTAGATCCAGGGGCTTGTGCCTGGATCACAGGCACAAATGAATGTCACTGAAATCTTGAAGAGCAGGGACACTTGGAGATGAGGTAGCAAATATAAGTGCGCTCTTGATGTAACTATGCCAGTGTTCTTGGTATTGAAGTGATCCAATTATCTCATAAATTGTAGATTTAAAGGATTTTTTTTATCACTAACATCCTGTTGTCCAATTTGTAGTCTCATGTTCAAAACTCTAAACACAATTAGTACAACATCCATCCATTGTGGACCATACCATTAACAGAATACATGTTATTTGCACACAGTATGCAGTCAGTTAACACTTATAAAATGCTTATATTTTCTTTACATGCAAGCTTACCAAATACCAAAATTATGGAATAATATTTTCAGATGCTAGCACACAACAAGCCAGAAATGAAAACTTAATGTTCAAAACCTTAAATATAGTATAAAACCTTAACCTCTATAACAACAGCAGCTCAAAAGCTCAAATATTGAAACAGATAAGCAGTTTTGAATAGTTCACATGCAATGACAAAGTGGTTTGCAGCCCATCCAAGAATGCTTTCCCGTTTCATTCCCCTCTATTCGCCCTTCCTCGACCCCAATGAGGATTTTTTTTTCTTGCCTGGAAGTGAAAAGTGTAGGCTATGATTGTTGGCCACATGTGTAACTGTCCCTCCTGGTCGCATAAATGCCAGATGCAAAGACATCTCAGCTGGAAACTGCTAGGGACAGATAAGGCAGGCATTTCTATCCAAGGTGCATAGCATGGGATGACTTAAGATGTGATGTGGATCACACATCATGGATGATTTTTTAGTTAATCAGTGACAGCAATTTAATGTTGCCAATACAGCTTTTACTGTGGCAGTTCTGTCATTTACTAGTTTTTTATACTGTGGATTTGATAAAGATAACTCATTTTGTTGCCAAAAATGTCCACATTCAACACTCAACCAATTTAAAGGAAAATGAATTATAAAAACAGTGGATTTCATGTTGTCTGTTGTACACTGGTAGAACTTAAACATCAATAGTAATGCAGTTTCTGTAATGGCATCTACTCTTAGGCTAATATTTTGAATGTTATGATCAACTCTTTCTTCCTATTGGACAGAAAATATGAGCTGTTTTGAAAGGATGATCTGATACAGAGTTTGACATGTTTTGAGAGTTAAACTTGGTTTATGGCTAGTGTAGGCCTATATAGACAAAGGTTTTAGCATTTTGAAATGCAGAGTTGGTATTTTGTGAATAAAATGTGGTTTTGAGCAACAAAAAAAATTGTATGGTTAACTGTGTGATGAAGGTGTTGCTGTGTTAAGAGTCTAGAAAAAAATATCTTAATTATAGGCAAACGCTTGTCATTAACAGTAAAATAAAATAAATAAATAAATAAAGTTACATAATGACGTAATAAGTCGTACTTTTATTTTGGAAACACAGCTTCCGGAAGTTGCGTATGGTGTTTGGCATGCGCATATTACTGAGGAAGAAAAGAACCACTGTTTAAGGAACGATATAAAATTGTAAACATTATTAAACTGGCTGCTTTCTCTGTGTGGATGGGATGGAAGAATAAGGTAAACATGGTCTTTAAGATATCCACTTTTTTGTCAGAATAGTTGTCATTGTCAACGCGTGCAGTGTCAGAAGCATTGACGTTAATTGATTTAGCATGACAGTTTATGATATCCAGTCTGTGGTTTCAGACCTGATATCAAGAAAGACTTTCAAGCGTCAGCTAACTTACGATCATAATTTATTGTTACATTTCATTTACTTTGGTTATTAGGATTTGTTGTAGCGGTGTTCGTTTGCTTTGTGATAGGAAACGCTTGTGGATTCCTCACAACAGTGCTAGCAATAGCACATAGCGTAGCGTTCCCAGACATCCTTGAGAAATGATCTAACGCTAAATAATTAGCTGGCTCATTGATTTAAATAGTTCTGCGCAAATAGATTTGGCATCTGAAGCACGCCTTCTCTCTATTTAGCTAACTTACTTAGTATCTGACACAACCATTGATAAACATCAATAAAACCTCATTCCTGTCACTCTACTCGAAATTGTGATTAGCTAACTATGTGTCTGTCGGCTGAAACTAACAGCAATTAGCATAACTAGCTATTTACTCGTTATGCGAAGAAAGTAAAGTTAGCTAGTTAGCTAACTAGAATGAATAACCCACGGGGGTGCATTAATATGATGTGATAGGACTCACAATAGGAATATTTGGACACAATGGTATTGTTAATATTAGCTATCATTAAATGCACATCTAATCCGCTGTCTTACTGATCCGGTGCAACAGCAATGTTATCTGTTTTTGCCTTCCTGTTTTCCTGTGTTAATTGTGATCAAGTTAAAAACATTAGTCTTATCTTAAGACTGTTCTTCAGCTAGCTGCCGATCTCTGGCAGCAGATTCCCAAAACTACAAGCTTCATTAGGTGTCAAATAGACCTTTATTTAAAAAATAAATGGCTGGTTGACCAAAAGACGCAAGTTTAACGTTAGATGGCAATAAAACAGATATGGGCTCCTGATTAACCCACTCACACAATGCACCTAAATTATATATTCCGCTCATGATCTCAACCCCACCGAATGCCTATATACAACAAGCACATGGGAATACTGTAGTCAGATTTGTGCTACACAGTGGTTCCCTGGTACTCAAATTTAATACCCAAGTGTAACTAGCATATACTTACCAATTTTAGTAATTACACCTGTAAAATGCATTGCAGTCAGATATGTTACCCTCTAATAAATACTTTTAAATAAAAAAAAAACTATCTTGTAGTGGGTATTATTTTTTTAAGTCCATGTCAGAAAATGGAGTTCCAAGTCTGTGGTCATTTTTGAGGCTAGTGGTGGTGGTGTATAGGACCACATTATATTGAAAAGGCTTTTCTACACTATGTTCACCCCTATTTACATACATGATGATTGAAGAGAGCAGCAGAGTTGTTACCGCAAAAATGAGTCTCCAAATGACCACAGAATTGATTAAATGCCTGTTTAACAGAATGTCAACAAAACCCATACACCATACGTTTCACAGACTAATTACTATAGGGTGATGATATCTGAGTGTGATGGGTTGTGCAGGTATGTCTGTTTACACTGAGTTACCAGTTCTTCAAACATATCAGTCTGATATCTTGCTGAGAGAAATGACAACAGATCAAAGTAATCGGTAGCAGTAGCAGATCAGAGCTGTGGCACAAATGACAGTGGACAAAGAAAACAATCAGTCTGCTTCCACGAGAAAATATCAGAGCTTTCTCATCAGAAGGCTGCACACATTTAAAATTTTAGCAATCATAAAAGATGGAAATTAGTGAAAGAACTCTGGCAAACACTGCTACATTGACATTCAGAATGTAAGCTGACTACATAGTCATTTGTTTTGTTTGCTTTGTAGGTTAACCTCAAGGTGTGGAAGAAAACATTGTTCGCCAGTGCATGGACACAAAGCCAATGCGCAGGTAGGTGTAGTATCAAGTATGCAGGAATGTGTTATGTCTTGAAAGGTCTGTTGGCATTGGTTCCAGATTCTTTCTCCAGGGTTTTGATAGAATTTTATTGACTCAGAATCCTGTTCTGAATTGACTTATTGAATCCGAATCCTTTCAAATCCTTATCAACTCTTTTTAACTAGTTTCAAGTACTTTTTAAAAAGTGATTTTATTTCACTCAAAACAAATTGTTTTATGTCAGAGAAGATACTATAGAATTCTGTAACCATGTTAATAGCACAAGAGGTTATTTTATTTATCAAGCCTAAGCCATGGACATCCTGCTGAGCTGCAGAGGAACAGGGATTTCAACACTTATGTTGCCACTGCTCTGTGACACCTCACTCATTTAGCTTATTGGGTGTCTATTTTGTAGCTTAAAAAAACACACTAAAAACAGTAAAAGTAAAAATACTGTGAAAATAATATTGATGCTATTTTCATCATTCAGTGTATATCAGTTACATAAATTACTGATGTTTTACATGCATAATGGAGTTAGTTACCTGGAGGTGAAGTGGTTGTTATTGGCCTTGTCCCTTTCTTAAAGAGATTTCTGTGAATTCTCTATCTTAGATTATTATGTAATGCAGATGATGAAAACCCAAATTCTTTGCAATTTTATGTTGACAAATGTTACTCTTACATTGTTGCACAGCATATGTTGCACTTTTGTGCCGATAATAATTTGATTTTGTCTAGCAGTGAGTTCCTGCCTAGTCAGAGCTATACATACAGTGTATATTAGTGACGCCTGGCATACAACATCATGGCTCGACCATTGCATTTCTACAGCTGATGCACATGCCGCTTTGGCAGATATAAACATTCTTTACAACATGTCCTTTTCTGATCATATCCCCGTCAAGATGACCGTGAGACTTGATTTTATACCTATTTTAACTCAGTCTAACCAAAACATGGAGGTTTGGATTTCTCCTCTCTTTCTCCTGAGGGTCTTGCCAGTTATCGTAATCTCACTGATAGGCTGTTATATGATATCACATTACCTAGAGAGGCGGTTATGTGCAATGATCCTAATTGTATAGATGCTAACCACAAGACAGATATCTCTTCCATGTATCTTAATATTATCTGGGTGCTGCTGGACGCGAGTGTGCCGTTTCACGAAGATGAAGGGAAGCGTAAAACTATGCCTGGCTGGAGCACCTATGTGG